AGAGAGAGAGAGAGAGAGAGAGAGAGAGAGAGAGAGAGAGAGAGAGAGAGAGAGAGTATTTTGTAGCTAACTTGCTTGATATGTTTGGCGAATGAATTGTTTTCTTGCGCATATCTTGTCATGCGCGTGCAGGGAAGTTGTTCCCGATGAACGGGAAGAACGGCTCAGACAGTGACCTTGGCATCACTATCGCATCCGTTCTGATCTCGAAGAAGGATGGGATGTCGCTGAAGTCATCGCTTGATGGTGGTGGTGCAGGTATGTATGTCTATGCTAGGCCAATGTGGTGATCGTGATTGCAGTTTTTTTCATTGAACTGTGAGTCCATCGGCCCCTCTTTTTTTTTTTTTACGTGTTTCCAAGCACCGGACCAATATCTACGCTGCCAAGGCCCGGTAGTGGTTCGGTGGGAATGGGCTGGGCTACCACTGGTACCAGCGTCATTTTTCCAAAGGTCTGCAGACTCTGCACTGTAAATTTTAGACTCGGCAAAATGCATTTTTGGGTTCGTCAATTTAGCGATTGGATGGACTGGTGGTGTAAGGCCTCGCCGAATGCAAGTACGGTAAAAAAAAAAGATAAATACTGAATACCTAGGCTACCAGAGTGGCCCGGGGTCACTTGCCCGGCCGGGCGAAAAAAAATAATAAAAATAAAAATAAAAATATGACTTTTTTTATTTTAGCTTTTATTCTAAATTTGGTGAAGAATTTCGATGTGACGCTGGGTCAAAAGTTGTTCAGTTTATTTTTCTGCATAACATAGTTTTTCGGATTTTTCGGAATTTGTTTATTATTATTATTATTTTGCTGGGACCTTCCCTGGTCCTTGCACAGGCTGGCCACCCTGGACCCGAGCGGCTCGGAATTTGTTTATTATTATTATTTTTTTGCTGGGACCTTCCCTGGTCCTTGCACGGGCTGGCCACCCTGGACCCGAACGGCCTGGCTGGTAGCCTAGCTAAAAACTAAATAAGTAAAGAAGTCCTAGGGGGTGTGGTGTGAGTACACCCTTAGGGCATACTCACAATAGGCCCTCAAAACCGCGAAAAAAAAAACAGGGGGGAAAAAAAAAAGCAAAATCGCAAAAACAGCGGTCAGATTGACTCCATCTAAAAGGAGGACTAAATCTGGCTGCTCATTTTTTCCGATTCTGCCATTTTAAGGGCCTGCCGTCTTCACCCGAATAGAACGCCCGGTCATTATAGCTGTATTTGGCACAACTTTCGGTCCAGATGCACAGCGATAATGACCGGGTGTTCTATTCGGGTGAAGACGGTAGTGTGACTACACTCTATGACAGAAGAAAAAGGATCTGGCAAACATTGCTCATCCTCTTAGTACTCTTATCTTACCACTGAAGCCTTTTCTTTTCATGTCTTCTTTTTTTTATCGTTTTTTTTTTTTTTTTTTTTCAATACAACAGAACCTTTCAATATCAAATCAAATGAATTGAGGCCGGGGACCTTTCAAATCCCCGCTTTTTTTATTGTGGAAATTTGGATGGTGCAAGGAATATGAGCGAGAGAGCGATAAACAGAAAACCAAATTGAAATGTCATGCTGTAGGCCAGATAGTTGAGTACCAAGCAGAAAGCATACTGCACCGAGTTACGAGCCCAATAAGAGCGTGATACAATGAACTCAAATGCAAATGTCGACGCTCTCTCGCAGCATCAACAAAGTATCCAATGTCGCTCTTCTCGATTGGTGCTCAGCGCCCAGCCTATCCTACTCAGCCTAGACTAGTCTAGACTACGTATTGCGATAGGAATCGCTTTGAGCTGAAGACCGATGTGTATGTGACAAAGTCGCCAATGCAGACTGCCAGCATACACCGGGTACGTACGTGCCTCTGCTCCCCTCGTCACCCCCCGACTCCCCACATCATGCGCCTCTCCCCTTCCTGAAGACCACCATCGCCCACACCGGCCTCCGCACGCGCAGCCTGACTATGGCCGCCGTGTGCCCCCGCTGCCACAGCAGCGCCCTCACCTCGTGCGCTGGCTGACCAGTGGATGCGCGGCATGCTCTCGTGCGAGAAAGCAGCAGCGTGGCCGCAATGCCTGCACAGGCCAGAGTTCCCCTCTGGCTGGGCGCTCACTTTCCTATATGTAAAGTGAGCCCTAACTCTGGCGGGGCTGGGATTGGCGTGCAGGGGCCCAGTACCTTCACGTTGGGCCAAAGTATCTGTGCCCAGGCCCACTCAGACAGTTGGCCGGGCCCGCAGCATAGAGGCAGCCCAACTGTACGACGTGGCTGCTGTCAGTTGCTGCGGTCTCATTGGCTGTCGGGCCTCCATCCATGTCACGGGCTGGTCTCCTATTGGCCAGAGAGCCTCTGGCCACGTTGCTCCTGAAGTGAGCCCGGAGGCTCAGCTTGTCATGCTCACACAGACGCTGTTCTGTAACCAACTGGGGCATGGTAACTGTCCGGCGCCCGTCGATGCAGAATTGTCAGAAGTGGGGGCCCCATGTCGAATTCAGGCCCGCCTTCACGTAGGACGGGTACCGTGCTCGCCGGGGGGCCCTCGGGTAGTGGCAGGCCGCAGTCGAGCGGCCTTTTGTGAGGAGGGGGGGGGGGGGAGCTCATTATGCGCAATGGTTTATAAATGCTTGTTCTGGGCTCTATGTCTGGTCTCTTACTCTGTCGGGTGAACTCTTCTTGTCCCCTTGTGATTCGTCTCCTTGTTTTGTTTTTTTCTTTCTTTCCTTCTTTGTCCCTTTCTTTTTCTCCTCGTCTTCTTTTGTGATCAGTAGCTGTGAAGATGTTCGAGTCGAAACCTGCACTCGTCGATCCGGCAGAGATTATCTTGTGGTCCATCGCCGTAACGACTGTCGTCTTGGCGTCAATGTGGTCTGCGGCTCGAGATCGGAAAGCCTACCATGGATATGGAAAAATCAAGGTGAACTTCGCTCAGAAGAACCCTCTCTTGAAAAAAGAAAGAACAAAGAAAAAAGAGCCCTCTCTCTGCAAAAAAAAAACAAACTCAGCTCTACCTTCTTGATTGGTAATAATTAGAAATATAATTATCAAATACTAATAATGCCTCGGGGCCAAATATATGTGATACCACTGTTTTGTTTTCTTTTGGTTTCTATAATGATAGTATAATCTATTACTTTCTAATACTTCCCGTTAATAAAATTTATCTGTTAATTCTTTTGTGCATGTCTTTTTTTTTCTCTTATTTTTTTTGAAATATTTGATGTCAGATTGATGTTTCCTCCNCCCCCCCCCCCCCCTCTCCCCAACACACACACACACACACACACACACACACACACAACTTTTAGGCAACTTTCTGGTGGTGTTTTGTAGAGTTCCTTTTTTGGCTGTGCTCGAGTATATGCTCGCACGCCTGGTTTTGTGATTTGGGGCCTCGTCAGGTCACTCACAAGATGAAAAGAAAAAACAAGTCCATCTTTCTGCTCCACAACTTCAACTTTTGACATGTATCTGGAATGCAATATGGACCAGCTACATTCGGACTGGAGGAACATTTTGAATGTATGGGGACCGGCTGGAGGTCCGGATACATTTCGAATGTTGTGTAATGGAGTGAAGTGGCAAGGGTGGGGCCTCGGAGTGAAGTGGCAAGGGTGGGGCCTGGAGTTGAAAGTTAACTGGCGGTGGTACTTCCGTTGTGCGTCGCTAAAAAATTCAAACATGCATCAGGTCCAAATCTAGTCCAAATACAGACCAACATGGTCCACATAGAGGTCAGGATGGTAGTGGTGAAGTTTTTTTACCACACTTCTCTTTGTTGTCATGTCGAATGAAAGTTCGTCGACCAATCGTTGAGTCTCCGGAGTGGGAAGGGGAAAGGGAAGGGAACAACTCCATCACATTTTGCAGTTTTCAGAGAGGCTTAGTAGGGTATACTCACACTAGCAATTTTTTTCTCCTTTTCTGGACGGAATTGCGGCCAGATGCATGCAGGTTTGGCTGTAAATGCGGTCAGATGTATGTAAGACAGTGCTAGCGTGAGCACGCCCTTACAGAGACTACTTTCGTGAGCGAAAGGATTAAAACTGTGTAGCACACCGAACGTGTTCGGGGCTTTTGCAGATGCCGGGACACGTTCGCGTGTTCGGTAGAACGCCTCTCGAACGTGTTCGGTCAAACATATATGATATATATATATTTTTTGGATCTATTTTTTTTTGGTTTTTTATTTTTAACTCGAGTTTTGCTAAGAATTTGAACATGCCTTCCAGGCAAAATAACATATATTGTTTTCACATTTTTCTGAGAACTTTTTTGTTTCCTTTTTCTTTTTCTTTTTTTTTTCAAATATTTTTTTATGTTTGCTTTCGGAGGGTTTTGGCGCTCGTTCGTGTTCGGTCGCGAACGTTTGGGTTCTGGGTCACCTAAGGCGAACACGACGCTACGCAGGGATTAAATTTCTACACCCCCCCAATAAGGTTCTGCCTCAGCATACAGACGAAATGGGATGGGCTCGGGGCTTTCTTCGCTTACTTGACACAGGGTTTTGCAGCCACAGGAGGAGAATCCGCAGCAAGAGGGAAACAAAGGACAGGTCTTCGAAATAAACATGACTTCTGCGGTCATGTTCATCGTCATGGCGTCGGTGATGCTCCTTGTTCTCTTTTACTTCATGTCGAAGAGCTTCTACATCTTCCTCGTTGTATTGCTCTGCTTCGGAGGATTCGAGGTATGTTCTCTCTCTCTCTCTCTCTGGTCTCTCTCTCTCTCTGTGCTATCTCTCTCTCTCTCTCTCTATCTCTTGTCTCTCTGTCTCTCCCTTTTCTTTTTTTTTCTTTTTCTTTTTCCATGCAGGCAAGTGTGGTAGAGCTCAACTCTCCTACTGTATATACGTCTTCGTCATTGGAAGATTCGAGCTATGCTCTCTCTTTTTCTTTCTTTGTTTGTTTGTTCGTTTTTTTTTTGTTCCTTTTTGTTTTGAGGTATCATGTKYTYT